ATGGTGACTGTTCCTCTGCAGGCTTTTCTAACAAAACACTCAATACAAAATGATTACACATAGAATATTCTATGAGAAGCAATTGTGCTTCTTTGAGTTCCTGTGCTTCTTGAATAATTTCTGAGGTATGAGCTACAGGAAAGACAGCCTTCCATATTAATTTGTTCAATGCAAGACCCTTGTGTGTTTTCCTGTGCTTAAAAAAAATCCTTCCTGGTTAGACAAAGAGCATAATCCAGTCAAAGGTAAGCACTCTTAAATCCAATTATTTCAGTGAGAAAGCTGAACGGATGCTTATCTTTTCACCCAGCTGAAATTAATGGGACTTTTAAAAGTGCCGAAACTTCTAACTTATCAGTCCACATCTTGCAAAAAAGAGTTATTCTAATTGCTTTATTCTAAATTCAGGCCCTTTTGATTAGGAATAAGGCATTAATAGATTTTTGTCTTGTCTTGGAGTTGGATTTAGTTTTTGCATTCAATCTCACCCAATGCCTATCCATACCACAGCCCTAGTCTCATATGGCTACTATATATGCAGGTCCCAAGATTCTCAGCATAGCCTTTTTAGGTGGTCAAAGAGGATCCCTCCTCCTTTTTACCCGCAGAAAAGATGGTTGGATCCAACCTTTGTTTTCCCCTTTTTAAACTTTCTAAGTAACATTTTTTCCTGTCAAATCGCAGCTGATTTATGACGACTCTGTAGGGTTTTCAAGGCAAGAGAAATTCAGAAGTGGTTTGCCATTGCCTTCCTCAGTATAACAACCCTGGTATTCCTTCGTGGTCTCCCATCCAAATACTAACCAGGGCTGACCCTACTTTGCTTCAGAAATCTGATGAGATCAGGCTAGCCTGGGCTATCCGGGTCAGGGCAAGTAACATTTACCCTTTAACATGCCTTTTAAAAAAATTATTCTAATTCTTTTATCATTCTAGTTGTATTATAGGTAGAAGCTGAGCAATTTTCTTCCTTCTGTGTGAAATTTTTTTTGGGGGGGCCCCCGAAGGGGATTTTTTAATTGTATTTTTATAAAGACTACAAACTACAAAAGAAACGGGATAGGGGACTACATCTAGGGACAAAGTAAAGATACCCACTAATACCTAAAAACCCAAGAGAGGAGATCTTCTAGTCAGCTTCAACAAACATCAAATCTTAACCCCGCTTATCCCTTTACAAACTGAGTCAAGTGTAATAATAACTTTTTCAATTCTTAACTTTAACTGTCATTTAGAAATACCCCAAAGTATCTCATTTCAAACAGTTTTTCAAAGGCGCATATCAGAGTCCTTCAGCCTTCACTTCTCCTTGCCTCTTCTCTTCCGCAGCTTATAAGGACTTTTAGGAGCAGCCGCACCTATCTCTGATAGAGTCTCCTTTCCAGAAGAATCCGAGTCCAGCTCGCCATTGGACTTACTGTCCTCCTCTTCTTTTTCCTCCTCCTCTGGCCCTCCCAACTGACCTCTTAGAAATTCCAGAGCTTTCAGAACAGAGTCAATCTTTCCTTTTTTATCCTTAATTTTGAAGATGACATCTTCTGGAGTTATCCATCTGTAACCAATTGAATTTGTCTGAAGAAAGAGAATAAGATCTTAGTATTTCTTTCTCCTTTGTCTTATTTCAAAGTACTCTGATGACATTCTCCCCCACTTTCAGGGGTACTCCAGATACTGCTTTCAGGATTGCATCCCTCACATGCCTCTTTGAGAATCTTACAACAATTTCTCCAGGCAGATTATTTTTCTTTATATATCCTGAATATGACCTATAGGCCACATCCATATCGCTTATCAACTGTTCTGCCTTCATCTCTGTCACTGGGGCCAATAGTTCACTCATCGTTTCCTTTAGATTCTCTCCCTTATTCTCTGGCATGCCCTGGAAGCGAAGGATCATATTAGCCTTTTCCATTTGCAGTTGTAACAGCTGGTCTTCTGTGGAGAGCTGCTTCCTTTCCAATTGCTTTACTTTCTTCTTCACCTTTTGGGCAGTGGTGTCAACTTCTTTCACCTTCTCAGCTGTTTGATTCATCATTTTCAAAGTCTCGTTTATCTGGGTTTGCTGAGCAGTGATATAGTTTATTTATTTATTTATTTATACCTTAGATTTGATATACCGCCCTAACCCCCGAAGGGGTCTCTGGGCGGTTCACATTTTTGTCGTCCTAAGAACTGATTTTCCTATCTTGGGTCACATCTAGAGTTGGGGGTGGGACTGCCTACCGGCACCCTCGGTGGTATATACGCTTCTTCTTGCTTCCCGGCACGGCTCGCCGTCTAGATCGATCCAGTTCTTTCTTGGCTGCTGGCGCGGCGGTCCTCTCCGCACATTCCTCTCTCCCGCAACCACGGCAGCTCCACACAGGCGCACGGCTTCCTGCACGCTCCCGGCCGGCTTCATCCATCGGGCGCACCCTTGCCTGCATCATTCGTCGTGCGCCTCCAGGACTCTGCCGTCGCCGCCCGATGTCGCTCGATGTTTCCTCCGGCCACCAGGGATCGCTCTGCTCTGTACCGCCTCAGCTCTGCCAGCACTCGCTGCCGCCAATGCCATGCTGCCATCCATCGTCCTCTGCACCGCCCTGCCATCCGCACTGCCACCATGCCTCTTCCGTCAGAGGTGGGTGCCCCCTACCCATCTAAGGGCAGGTACCCATTCGTCTACTTGCATTAGATGTTAATTAGCTTTCGACCCGCTGGGTTGGCGGGAGCTGGGATGAAGGCCGGGAGCTCACTCCGGCCATGGTGGTATTCGAACAGCCGCAATGGCTGCTCTTGGTTGTTAAAGCAGGCGTTTTACCGCCTGCACCACCGCTTCACTTTAGACATCTGCTCCTTGAAGTTATTCAGCTGGTCCATTAGAGGGCGCATGTATTCTGCCAAAGTCTTTGCCAGCTCGTTGGTTCCTTTCGGTTTTGGGCTCTCAGTCACTTTCAATTTCAAAAGTTTCTCCTTTTCCATCCTCTTCCCCGCCATGTTTCTCAATTTGTTTACTTGCGCAAGTTTTTTTGAAAATCTCTGAATATGCACTTAACCGCTCAGTCACGCCTTGGTAAGAACAGTTTTAACCATTTTTTCTTCCGCTCCCCCCCTCATTCGCTCAAAAGTTCATGCTCATGGGAGGCATCCCTCCCCCCTTGCCTTTTTCTCTGCTACGCAGTTTAGGGTAGGGAGCTTTCTTTTCTCTTTAATCAATGCTTAAACGACTCACGTTCATAGTCGGTCCTCAGACCTCGTTTACTTTCTCTTTCATACGCTTGATCTCCTGCGCTTGCCCCGGTTAGCATTGCTTAGTCCATTCGGTCTCACAGCACGGAGAACCATTGGAATGGAGAAGCGCCTCAATTCTCCAGCATTCCGCCGTTGAAGAGGTCACCTCTCATAAGCTCCATGGCAAGGGTCCCTTCAACCGGGTCCCTCCTTCGGCTGGAGCACAGCTTCACCCCCGGGAGGTCCGGGAGGTGAGTCTGCTAGCGCGCCGCCATCACCAGACGTCAGTTCCTTCTGTGTGAAAATTTGTTGTAACGTTGTGAGAAAAGTAAGCCCATGCTCAGCTGTATCAGCAGCACATACGTGCACACTTGAGGCATGCTCTTGAACAGAACTCTTTTCTATTTTCCTCCATTGTCATTAGGCATTAACAGACACTAATACGGAAGGCATGTGGAAAATTCAACCCTTGCTTGTTCATATTCTTTCCCAGCCACAACAACAAAACACCTGAATCCAGTACAGGACTTGAATGAAGGGGTTTTCCCCCCTTTAATGTTGTGATTCCATAGTAGAGAAGATTAATCCTCTTTCCTTTCAGCGTTTTGCTCACCATTCTTACTATTCTGAGCATCTTTTTACCATAGAACATAAGATGAACCCTACAGGACCAGACCAAAAGTCCACATAGTTCCTTTATCTGCTTTTCAACAATGGTCAGCTAGGTCTTTAGGAAGTACAAAGGAAGGCAACATCCTTCTTTTGTTGGATGACGTTATGCTACATCTGAACACAGACCTTTCCGATGAACAATATGTACATGTCTGAACCTTTTTAAAAAAAGAACCTTGAACTACTAGCTGTCACATATTGTGGTTCGGAATTCTTAACGTAAAGGAATATTTTCTTTTGTCTGTTCTGAACCAACTTTGTTCTCTAGTAATGCGAGAGAAGAAGGTGTGTGAATCCTCATACCATTCATAATTTTATTATAATCCCTCCATAATATCCCTCTTTATGGCACTTTCCATATTACACAGAAGGAAGCATAAATACTTTTAATGCAGTTAGTGTAGAACGCTGCGGCCAGGCTTTTAATGGGCCTCCCTAGATGGGAGCACATTCAGCTTGTGCTGAAAGCGCTGCACTGGCTGCCAATAGCATACCGGGTGCGCTTCAAAGTGCTGGTTTTGACCTTTAAAGCCCTATATGGCCAGGGTCTGACATACCTAAGGGACCGCCTTTCCCCACACATACCCCAAAGGGCACTACAGTCGGGGGCATAACATCAGTTAGTGATCCCAGGGCCCATGGAGGCCCGGCTTGCTGCAACCAGGGCCAGGGCCTTTTCAGTGGCAGCTCCTACCTGGTGGAACGAGCTCCCAGAAGAGATCAGGGCCCTGCGGGACCTCTCACAGTTCCGTAGGGCCTGCAAGATGGAGCTCTTTCGCCAGGCTTTTGATTAGGAGCCGCCACTACCATCATCATTAACAATCCCCGGTAACAACGGGGACGGCCCTCTATAAAGATCGAACTACAGCAGTACGGTGGATCGGTACCGCTGAACCGGGACAGTGTAACATTTTCAGGACACCATCTTGCTTTAATTGAAGACAAATAGCATCGAGCACTTTATCATGTAAAATTGTTTGTTTTTATTCTGTTTTTATGTATTGGCACACGGTGCCCTTGTTTGTGAGCAGTCCTGAGCCCATTCGTAGGGAGGATGGGGTAGAAATTTAACAAATAATAATAATGGGCAGGAAGAAAGAAGAAAATAACAGAGTAACCTCATCTGCTGGAAAAGCGCTTCCATTTTGCAATGGTTCCGCAGCATCACTTGGAGGTGTCACTTCAACTTCAACTGTTGTGTTGTTGGGCGGCTCAAGTTTTCCTGAAACACAATATCCATAAACAAAAAGACTATTGTTTACCACATGCATATGTAAGTCTTGGAGAAAAAATACTGAATCGGTTCTTTTTTCAAATCAATGTCCCATGAACACAGTTCAAATATAAATACTGAAAATGAGTCTTTGAATGAGACCAGCTGGAATCTAGAATGTTCATAACATCTTCAGAATTTTTAAAAAAAATTATTCTAAACATTTTTATGCCCCTGACCAGGGCTCCCAAGGCATAAAAACAATAAGACATCTAAACAATTAAAAACATTTAAAATTATATAATAATTCAATGAAAATATACAAAGAAACAATACCAAAACCAGGGAGGAGAGCTAATAACCATTATTGAGGGCATGCCAGACAGACAAAACAAAAAAATCCTCACCCACAGGTGGAAGACACCAACAGCAGGAGACAGCCGAATCTCCCTGGTGAGGAAGCCTGAGGTTTTGGTGCCACAAACAAGAAAAGAAGCGACTTCACAATAAAGCTACGGATGCATTCTTCAAACCTGGTTTACACAATTGCCCAGAGATAACAGTCTCTTACTTTGCATGTACCTTAGATTTTGTTCTGAGCGGATGGCCTTGCCTGTAAGGAGCAGAAACAGGCAGGGTCCCCTCCCCTGAGTCTTCTTCATGGATTGAGCCAATTTCCAAGCATTTTTCACCATGATCTTTTTTTAAAATCTTGCAGTTTACATACTAAAAAGGGCCATGTACCTACCAACATGATTAGCACTTCCATTCTTTTTTTCATCATCCTCCACCTGGCACGTTTTGGCCATCTTATGAAGAATTGATGCCCTTTCTCTGAACTTTCCTGAAAGAAAAGAACACATTTCTTAAAGCATGGCTATTTGATGTCATAGATTTCTTGCCTATTACCTAAACTTTTAAATACACAGAGTGAAAAGTCAGACTTACTGAATTCTTCCAACCTCAAGAGGATTTACAAAAAGAATTAATTTTCTAGCTAAATATGCGTGTTATCGAAAAGCACTTTGCATGAAGGACGCATGCACACATCAGGTTTCGACTGACGAACTGTGAGAACCTCCCAATAGTAGTACCAACACTTTTACAAATAGAACAGCTGTTGTGGTTCCCCACTTTTGCCTTAAGGGCCCTGGCCATGGAGGCAGCTGTATTGGTTTGTAGCAGCTGAATCCTATGTATGTTAACTCAGAGCTGAATACCACTCACTAAGTACAATGGAACTTATTTACAGGATTTCAGCCTAAGAGATCAATGGTGCGCTAAACACAAATGTATAATTGCACATGGTTACTAGTAGAGATAATGAGGCAGGGATACAGATCAAGTATAGTGAGCAGAATAAGCAGCCCAGTGTTTTGAGGAAAGACAAGATCTTACTATCCCCCCCCCCAATTTAAAATCAAGTTTATTGAGGCTCGGACTATTTTATCAGTGTCTTCTGGAATGATTATGGAGTGCTGAGGTAGCTGGGGATTAATATTCACTGCGCAATGGGAACAGGAGCACCCATGTATGAAAGCATGAAACTTACACAATCATATTACAAAAAAGACATCAAAGAATATGACAGACACCAACACAGTTGCAAGCTGGAACATGCACCCATCCAGAAGAATTGCTGTTGTTATTTTACAATTAGTTTGGAAGCTTCAGGGTTTTTTTAAAAAAAAACACTTGCAAGTAGGTTTTACACAGAACAATGTCTTTGGTACATACCGCAAAACTTGAAAATAGAAGTATTTAAGGCAAGATAATGAATAACAGGCAGCTCACAGGGTAGACAAATTTTAAACTTCAAGAAAGAAAAGAGGCTACTTAAGCATCTGGTGCTAAGAAGAGAGATGAAGAAAGAAACAATGAATGAAGAATAGCCTGATCTTCATCAGCTTAATTCATAACTAAAATCCCACATTCACATCCTTGCACTGGAAGCATAATTCTGTGTATGATATTGGGGGGGGGGGGATTTGAAAACAAACCAATCTACTGTAAAGACATAACAGTGGTTTTTCATGACCACTGTTCAAGTTAGAGCAAAGCAGATTTTATAACCTGATCCTAGCTAGGCTTAAAGGTGGTGTAAGATTGTTGCTTCTTGCAGCTGTTGAGGCTGTTATTTCTGCCCCCAGAATGTACTAGCACATAATTACGTCTGCTGTGCCATGAATGGGATAGGATTCCATCTAATTCCTTCATGTGATTTTTCAGATGTGTTAAAAACTTAGGCACTTATACAGCCTGAGTACAGCAAGAGCCTTGTCAGGAAAGTTGGCCTGGAAGGCAGATGTTTTCCCCTCCCTCACCAGATGTAACTGCAGTAGTACTAACAACTGTTTGTACCAAGGAAGCAACAGCCACAGACAACTTTTTAGCTCACAACAGCCAGGTAATGCCAAAACAGTCCTATGCCAGAATTGAATAGCAAGGAATCAAAGTAAGAGAAATGAAAAACAAAATGTTTATAGGGAGATTATTGTTGTCAGGTACAACAAGCACATTTCACATTTCAAAGAAATTAATAAAAAACGAGGGTAGCCTTTAAGCACATCCATCTACTGACAGCAAATGGATGCACTAAAAGACTCTTGAGGGGAAAAATTAATTCTAAATAGAGCAGCTAGGCACAAAGATTCTCTGGGTCTTCCCCTCACTTCTTCAGGGAAACAAAAGTTAAGATTCCTTTTTCTGTACAAGAACTATTTGATAATATACAATGTACAAATGCTTCAGTGGCTAAAATGTTCATTTCCCCCCCTTGCCTCTTCTGAGGATTTATCTACACCTTACATAAGCAACCCTGTTTCCTGATCTGGCCAATCATCATAAAACACAGAGCTTAGATTGTATTATCCACAGATTTCTTTCTCCACACAGCCAAACTGTTTCCAATCTCAGAGCCTGGCAGAAGAACAAAAAATCCATGCGAGAGAATATCTAGAGCAGCATATGCAAAGAGGGGATACGCAACTCACAACTACCTAATTACATCAGCAGTACAACAGAAAGGTGGGCTTGGGAACTAAGGGTTGGATCCACCCAGCTTAATTGGGCTGTAGTAAAATGAGGTGAAATTGGGTGAAAAGGACTGGAAGGATCCAGCCATCTGTTTCCCTTATAACATGTAGGTCCATCCTTAGGTCAGCTGTGGGCAGAAGGATCATCATCCCTCGTTCATTCATGATGTCACTCACACAGTGCTCAAAAAAGTTTTCTAGGATGAGGACACTATTATTTACAAGATTTCTCAAATTGCTATCTATAATGGCGTGAGGCTCCTCCCTCTCCAGCTCCACCTGCTGGCCTTCAGCTGAGTTGCCACAAAATGGGTAGGCTGTCTCGGGCCTCAGAATGGGAAGAGGAGGGGCTTGTGCCACTTTGTTCCTCACTCTTCCCTGTGTTCTCCCCAGACCTAGGAGCACGGGCCTCTAATTCCTCCCTGGCCTGCTGTGGGGTTAGCTATATATGGGCTGGGTTTGGCCTCACGTCTTCTCCATCCTCCCGAAATATCCTGCCCTCCGAGTAGCTTAGCCTGTCAGAGCAGGGGGTAAGCTGGTTCCTCCCAGCCCTCCCTGTGATAGGTCCCGGCAGCCCCTGATTGGAGTGGAAATTCCCACCAGCTGGGTCTGGCCTGCTTCCCGTGCCTGCCCCTATGGCTGGTTCTTTCTCCTCCCTACTAGTTGCCTCCTTCTCTTACTGAGTCAGTGCTGCCATGCCTGTCACTTTCTCCTCTGCTGCTGGTCTGGTTCTCTGGGGCTCCTGTAGAGCCCCTGCTAGCTGCGTTGTGACTTGGATGGCTGCTGTTGGCAGCCCCTGTTGATAGCTCTTCCCTTAGGCATGGCTCCAGAGGCCAGTAGGGATGCCAGCCTCCAGGTGGGATCTTGGGATCCCCTGGAATTACATCTTAATCTCCAGACTACAGAGATCAATTACCCCGGGGAAAAATGGATGCTTTGGATGGCATTGTACCCCACTGAGTTCCCTGTCCTCCCCAGGCTCCACTCCCAAATCTCATGTAGTTTTCCAACCCGGATCTGGCAACTCTACCCCCCTATCCCCTGCTGGTTGCTAGGGGAGACCTGGGAACCCTAGAGGCCGGCGGTGAATCCAGGGTCAGGCCCATCCCTGGACAAATGGTTGCCATGTTTAAGCAGTCCTCTATACTACTCTGTAGGGTCAAGCACTGAAGATTTAGAGAAATGCTGCAGCTAGTCACAGCGCACAGTCATGCACAGAGAGACACAGAGTGAAAGCTGATTCTAAGTCTCAAACTAGATATTGTGGCTTTTAACAAATCAGGTCTGAGTCCTCCTCCTGGTGCCATTTCATCTTGGGAATTGGAATCGGAACATGACTACAGTTAAGGAAAATGGAATATCTGAACTTTAAAACTCAAATATATTCCTACTGTGTCACCCTCTTTTTCCTGCATGTGGCCTTCTAGCAAAGATATTCTAAATTGTGCAGGTGTGTGACCAGCCCCCCTCCAGCCCCCCTCCCTCTCCACAAATGCTCAGTTTCCACACCTATAAAGGTATGGACTAAACAATGTTTTAGTTCTATCAAGACTGAACATCACAATACAGCAAATTAAAGCGCTACAATGCCGCATTTAGCCGTAAAGCACAATTTTTGCTCTTTCTCTTTCTCTCTCCCTCTCCCTCTAGATATACACAGAGAGACAGAGGTTTAGATACCAATATCGATTGATTAGTTGGTTGATAGGTACGAGAACATATGTGAGGCTTAGGAAAATGCAGAAGAATAAAAATCAAAACTGGGATTAAATACAAAACAAAAATGTCCTTATTAAAGTTGTTAAAGAAGAAAAGGCATTGCATATTTATTATCTTTGTAAGCATGCAATAGCCTTCATGTTGATTGTCTAACCCAACTGACTATAAAAGGCAGCAGCTCTAATTTGGAGCCTGAACATTAAGATTCAATGTATACAGTATACAAAATATAGTAATTTTAAGTGTAAAAATACTTGACCACAAACTATGTTTACACTTAAGTAATATTCGAAAGCAAGAAATTGCAAGTAGATGAATAGGTACCACTTCAGTGGGAAGATAACAGCGTTCTGTGCGCCTTGGTGTTTAGTCATGCCGGCCACATGACCACGGAAATGTCTTCGGACAGTGCTAGCTCTTCGGCTTTGAAATGGAGATGAGCACCGCAACCCTAGAGTCGGATTCGACTGGCTTTTGAGCAAGGGAACTTTTACCTTTACTAATATCACTATAGTTTCTCATATACCTTTATCAATTCATTTTATTGTCTTTTTGCATAGTTTTCAAACTGCTATCCTTTATGGAATCCTTTTGCACATCCACTGACCATATGCTCCCGAATCCAAGCACACTGGACAAGACCCTGTGGGCATAGTCTAAGTTGCACACTGCTAGGCATTTGTCAAATCTGCTTTTATACCACAAGTTTACAAATTTTAAAAAGTAGGAAACAAAGCAGAAAGCCAACAGAATTAAACAGCACAGCACCCTATTAATCACCTCACGTACTGCATTCTCTTTTCTTCAGAAAAAAACCCACAACTACCACCAAACCAGAGAGGGAGCCAAATTAATTTTCTGAGGAGATTCCTTAATTCAGGCTACTAGCTACGGGGCCACTGCTGCCTCCACCTGTACTGGTACCACCATTCTTTAGCAATGGCTCTGCTTTCCTTTGCTTATTCCCCAAGCAGCAGCAGGCAAAAGGAGGATGGGAGACGTTAGCAGGAAGCAGTGGTTTCCTTTCTTCTGCCCTGTCTTCAGCAGAGCAGCAACTTCAATGAAGATGGAACAGGCTGGAGGGGAAGTGGCCCTGAGGAGGAGGATGCCTCCCGCCCTCGTTCTCTGTTCTCCTCAGCCCAGGTTATGTGGTAGGGCTGCCAAGTCCCCCCGGGGGGCGGAAATCCCCCCGCCCCAGAGGCCCGTTCCCCGGGGAATTGGGCCCCAGGGGGAACCCCGCCCCAGCGTACACGTCACAGGGAAGTGACGTTATGACGCCGGGCATGCTGGGGGCGGGGCCACGGCCATACAAGGGAAAACTCTATGGTTTTCCCTTGTATGGTCATGGCCCCGCCCCCAGCGTGCCCGGCATCATGACGTCACATCCCTGTGACGTGCATGCGCCAGGAGCCACCCCAGAGTCCCCCGCCAGCAAGGTAAGTCGGACTTGGCAACCCTATTATGTGTTGATAAGGGGAAGGGTGAAGCCAAACTGGAGTGGCTGATGTAAGGAAGAGGAGTGGCTAGAGGAACAGAGGATGGAATGAAAGAGGAAGGGTATGTGTGTTCATACTCTGTCACCCAGGACCCACAAATCCCTGGAGCTGGCCCTGCTTGTCCACCACCAGTGTTCCCTCTAAACTGAGTTAGTGTGAGCTAGCTCACAGTTTTTAAGCCTCCGGCTCACACATTTTTGCCTTAGCTCAGGAAGGATGGCTCCAGATAGGCTTGCCAAGTCCCCCCGGGGGGCGGGGGTTTCCCCGCCCCAGAGGCCCGTTCCCCGCCACCGCTGGATTGGGCCCCGGGGGGAGCTCCACCCCGACGTGCACGTCACCAGGAAGTGACGTGATCACGTGGGGCATGCTGGGGGCGGGGCCATGACCATCTATGGTTTTCCCTCAGATGGTCATGGCCCCGCCCCCAGCGTGCCCTGCGTGATCGCGTCACTTCTGTGTGACGTGGATGCGACGCGTGCGCACCTTGCGTGCGCTCCGGGAACAACATAGGAGTCCCCCGCTCCAGATCGAGGTAATACTTGGGAACCCTAGCTCCAGAGCAAACTAGTTTATGCAGTAGCCAAATTGCTTGCTCACAACTTTAATGTCAGTGGCTCACAAAGTAGAATTTTTGCTCACAAGACTCCACAGTTTAGAGGGAGCATTGTCCACCACTACAGATTTTCTCATTGAAGAATACCTCAAACGTCCCCATACATCATGGGTTCCTTGGAATACTGGCTGGAGAAAAAGTCATTCATTTTAACTCAATCCACAACTTATCACCTATGTCAGAATACTTGGATTTTAAATTAACTTGGCTTCAGATCTTTTCACAGATATGTGGTTCACATACTATTATCCTACCTCAAGGAAGCACATTCTAATTAGTGGGTAGCTGACTGAAATCGTCAGCAGTCATGTATACATGTTTGCAGGGGGAAAATCAAAATGTGTGTCAGAGCAAGCAAAAATGTATTTGCTGTATGACAATAAAAATCAAAATTGCAAATGCAAGTTGATAAAAATGTTGTAAAAGTATGGTAACACGTCACATTATATGTTAGTGAAATCATGCAGAGAGGAAATGAAAAAAACCCCAAAGAAGGAAAAGGTAACCACAAAAAAGATACTTTTTATAAAGTAAAAAAAAATGCTGACACAAAAATTCTAAAATATTTCTTACCTTCTTCAGTCATTGTTTCATAATACATTAGCTTTCCATATGATCCAAGCTCTACAACATCATAGCAAAAGACACAAAGATAAGGAACCAGAAGACATATGAGATAATTTACATTTTTTTTTCACACTTGCTTAAAAAAATTCACAGCAATTATCTAAGGTTTCTGCAGAGTAGGCAAACTGGTAGCCATGAGACACTTTTCACAAGATCGATTTTTATAGTTCATGTAGAATCTTCAAGCTAGGTTAATCTGAAGACAAGTATTGCTTTATAGGACAACAGCCAGTAAGACGATGACTTTACGACTGCTGCTCAGGTTGTCTTCAGTGTCCCACAGATTTTCTTTGGGTAGTGAAGGGTGGGGTATAAATCCAATCCAATCTCTCCTCCTCCTCCTCCTTCTAAATCCAGGAACTACTGCCTTGGTAAGGGACTGTGTAGGTTCTGGGTTTTACTGTAATCACTGGAAATGCTGTATTTCAGCCACTGAATCTGGCCTACTTTTATTGCACCCTTCCCCCCAGGCCCTTTAGAATTTAATGTGTCAAACTGCCATAACTGTGAGAGCTAAATTAAAGCACAGGAGACAACAAGCAGTGGCTTCAAAGCCAAATCCATTTCCCCTCCCCACTTTCTCACCTAGAGTAAAGATGATTGGTGTAGGAGCAATGGACATATCAAAGAGAAGTGCTGTCACTCTACAAGTATATAAGGGGCAGGGTGGGTGGATTGGCCCAGCATCCACCCAGTCCTCAAAATGGCTTTCTCATAAAGCTGGTTGCATTAAGCTAGCATAGTCTCTTGGACTCCGAAGTGATACATTGCGCATTCCTGAACTAGACAATATAGCTTCTGCAGGTTAAAGCCTCCAGCATCAAGATCTGGGCTTCAGAAGTCCATCCGCTCTTTTTAGAGTTCAAAGTTGCACTGAAATAGTATAAATGCAAATATTTACAGATTTATTGTGGATGTTGTTGCCTTCTTCTTTCTGCTTCTGGGAGGGTAAATTATTACTGATTTAAGATCTCAAATTTTACTCATAGTATAAGAAGCAATACAAACTCATGAGAAATGAAGCCAAATTCATCAAAAATTTGACTTTTCCCTA